CAAAAAATATTTTTAAAAAAGAAATCTCCTTTGAAGATATCAATCAAGATCTGAATAACTGGGAAATTCCCAGAATTCCAACTAATGAACTGTACAAACCCGAAGGAAACTTCTTTCGGAAATCTGACTATATCATCAGAACAGTTGAAAGAAATATCCCTTTAAATAAGGAATTTGAAGAATTTCAACTCCTTTCAAAATCATCTATACAAACTCATAAACAAAGTTATAACTATCTGCACATCGGATGTGTCCAAGTTGCTATTAAACCTCTTGGAATTGAAGGTCTAAATGCTTCTGTTCTTCTATGCCTTTGTGATACAAGGCATAACAAATTTACAGATTCTATACTTGGAACTGTTGAAACAAGCCTAAGCAATGGACCAATCTTTTTCAATTGTTATCCTGATCGTATGGTTAGTCTTCAGGATAAAAATATCTTGGATGTCTTAACATTGAACGTTGAGACAAGTGGTCTGGACATGAAATCTGGATCTATTCCAGCAGCTTTGCTTTTTAGGATTCAATATAAAGTATTGAATTCTTCCATCTCTAGGGTTCTTAAACCCAAGAAAACTGGGGAAACTACTTTGTTCCTCACTGACATGTCTAAAGCAAATGTCACTGTACCCAAAACCATCCGTTGGACTGACGTAGTCCTACCAGAAAAATGGAGACTTGAGAAGGCAACACCTGCTCAACCTAGAGATACTCCAAACTTCAGAGAAATCAAGCAGTTCCCAAGTGGTGCTGTTGAAATCACTTTCGACAAAAGAAACTCTTTCAGTTCTGCAAGTTCTTCCGGTCTGTTCAAACTCAAGATTTTCGTTCTGAAGATTTTCAATCAGCTTTTTCAAGGAGATCTTTCTCTACAATCTCTGAACCTAGTAGGTTTAATCTCCATCTCCAAGGTTTGCACACCTCTTCTTCTATTCCTAAACCTTCATATACCCAAAAAGAAGAAGAAAATGAACAAAATATAATCCAATCCCCAAAATCTATTCAATCTCCAACCTATTCCTCTATACATAATTCTTATGATGTTATCTAAGTTCATTATAGATAAGGAAACCCTTAGGAAAGACTTTAATTCTGAGGATCGGTCTCCTCAAAAAGAATGGTTCTTCCAAAATTATAAGGGAATTAAAAGACAACTAATCCAAGAAGAATTTTATAACTTTCTTAACAAAGTAAAGTTAAACATTCCTTTCTTTGATTGGTTTCAAGCTTATTTTGTCCAACAAGACATTGATTATCCATTTAAAACTCCACAATCTGCTAATGTCATCACTGTTTGGCACCTGAAAGAAGGAGAAGTTATTAAGTCCGAATTTCCTCCCACAACTTCTTTCTATCTCCCAAAGGTTTGTGATAACAAAAGTAGATCTGTTCTTGCATCACCTTTTAAATTAAAAGATGAAAATGAACAAATCTCTCCAATGGATTTTAAAAATCTTATTGAACAATCTAATTACACGAACAAATATCTTCAAATTTTGGGTGAAAAACTTCACAAAACTGTTGAACCTTCATCCTCCGCATCTTCTTCTAAAATCTTAGAAAAACCTTTGTTCAAACCTTTCAAAATGAATGATCAACTTAGAAAAGAGTTTGCAAAGTTGAAACCTACTCAATCTCAGTCTCAGGATGAATTTCTTAAGAAAATTGATGAGAAATTAAGCACTTTAACCATTCCTGATACTCCTCAACATTCTGATCAAAAGACTCAACAGTCTCATAAAAGAGAAACACGGTCCACTAAGCTTATCAATACTTTAAGTCAATGTGATGAATCCCCTGAGTCAGATAACAAATTTGAAATTAAAATTAATCCTATAACTGGTATTAATAATTGGAGAAACCCTTCCAAACTGTATTACCAAAAAGCAACTGCTCCTGATCTTCTACTTGAAGAAAAGAATACAAGCTTCAAAAGTTTTAATGGTAACAACGTCTATGAATGGAACATAGATGGAATCAGAGTATAACATACTCAATACTCTGCACCATATGACTATGGTTGCAACTGCCTATCAGACTTCTCATAATTGTTCTGAAGGAATCGTTTTCAATATTATTGTCTCTGGCTTTTCTGGTCAACTCAAAGGTTGGTGGGATAATTATCTTTCTGAAGATGAGAAAAATTCTGTTCTTGATGCCATTAAAGTTGATCCTGATGGCATTCCTATAATCTCTGATGGAAAAACTATTCCAGATGTTGTTAATCAATTAATCTTCACCATTATCCAACATTTCATTGGTGATCCATCCTTGTGAAAAGATCGTTTTGCTGAACTCCTATCCAATCTTAAATGTATAACCTTTTGATTCAAGAAAAGGGAGGTTTCTGGATCAGCTGGCTTGATGTTTTTTGGATGTTTTTTTAACCAGAGCTTGACATTTTCTGGGCAATGAAGTAAACTAGGAGAACACTATATATATATGGGATAGGTTATATTTACAAACTTTTTTATTTACAAACTACACTATCTTCCCCGGGAATAACACTAGTTTCACTATGTTCTCCCGGGAGAAGATAGTGTAATTTGTAAAAATTTATAAAAAAGAATTTTAAACGGATCCTTCCCCTATATATATGTGTGTGTGTGTTTTCTTAAGTTACTTTAGATAACTTTATCTATGGTTCACCAAAATAGATACAAAAAAGTGTGTAGGTTCATGTGGAGTTGTGGACCCATGTGAAGAGAAGAAAGAGAAAAAGAAAGCATAGGCTCCATGCACTTTTACGTGTGTATTTAAACCCATATAGATAGTTTTACAGTAAACGTAGATAAGTTATCTACGTTCACTCCCATAACCACATTGTTTTGGGTTAAAAGATTAAAAAATTATAGTCAGAAACACTGTTATAACCCTGAAATAAATTATAATTACAAAAATACTTTGATATTTTCCCCAAAACAATGTCATTTTGGACTATATATATTTGCAAAATGATTTATAATGTGACTGTATATAAGCATTGGTGCAGTTAGGGGAGTAAATGGGCCAGGCTAGGCTGGGCTTTGGCCTTCCTGGCCTAAGCCTACGTAAAAAATTATTCAGCCTATCTAGCTTATTGGCCTACTAAAGGCTTTATTCATAGACCAAGTCTGACCTATTTTTAAAAATTAGAGAGCCTTATATGACCTACAGGCCTTGTAGGCCTCCCTAGTGATATATTTTCAAATATTTTTAACAATTTTTAAAATATTCGCTTGACATTACAAGTCATTAACGTGTTCATAAATTGCTGCATTTTTTTACACGAGATATAAATTTCACTAGTGAGCATTAAAAATATTACAATAGTTAAAAAAAAACTAATCCAAGCTTAGAGACGAGAGATCAATTGCCAGAGAAAACACGAAGCTCGGAGAAGGGAGAAGCGGCGTTGCACAAAATAATTTAGGGTTGGTATTGATTGCCACCTAAAATAAATATATTATATTATTTTTTTAAAAAAATTAAATAGGCCAGCCTACAAGGCTTTAGGCCAGGCTTGATAAATTTGGCCTATGACCTGTTTGTTAAAAAGACTTTCTTATTAATCTAAGCCTACTCTACTTTTCAACATAGGTTGGGCTAGGCCAGGCTTAACGTAGGCCGGGTTGTAGGCTACGTCAGGCCAGTCTGGCCTATTTACACCCCTAGGTGCAGTCACCTAAACACTACGTCGTTTTGATTGGGATAAAGGAAGTTTGCGTTCAAAATTAATTATAGAAAATGGATATATTATATTTATTTCCGCCTTTGTATAGTTATGATTCCCCATATTTAATGTTTTATATTTATTTTTGTCTTTGTATAGTTATGATTCCCCATATTTAATACTTTCACATTATAAAATGACGTAATTTTATGTGACTGCACCAATCCTTAGGTAGCCACTGTACATTTGCTAAACCATATATATATATATATATATATATATATATATATATATATAGGCAAAATGATTTGTAATGTGACTGCATATAAGCATTGGTGCAGTCACCTAAAAACCATGTCGTTTTGGTTGGGATAAAGGAAGTTCGTGTTCAAAATTAATTGTAGAAAATGGAAATATTATATTTATTTCCACACCTTTGTATGGTTATGATTTCACATATTTAATGCTTTATATTTATTTCTTTCTTTGTATGGTTATGATTGCCCATATTTAATGCTTTCACACTATAAAACTACGTAGTTTTATATTATTGCACCAATCCTTAGGTGCAGTCACTTTACATCCGCTAAACCCATATATATATATATATATATATATATATATATATATATATATATATATATATGGCTTCACTTTTTCTGCAGTTACTGTAGATAAGTTATCTGCAGTAAGCCCAATACGACGTCGTTTTGGAACAGAAATCATGGTGTTTTGTAATTTTAATTTATTTCAGGATTATAATAGTCTTTATATTTATAATTTTTTAAGATTTCAATACCAAAACGACGTCATTTTGAGAAAAAATGCAGATAACTTATCTGCAGTAACTGGATAAACATTTTTCCATATATATATATAGGGAAAAGATCCATTTACAAACTTTTTGTGTAAATTTTTACAAATTACACTATCTTCTTCCGGGAGAAGATAGTGTAACCAGTGTTCTCCCGGGGGAAAATAGTATCGTTTGTAAGAATTTGTAAACAAAAAAATTTGTAAATATAATCTGCCTCATATATATATATATATATATATATATATATATATATATATATATATATATATATATATATATATATATATATATATACACACGTGTGTGTGAAATTAATCCCAACTTAAAAAGCAGAACACTTTGCTTACATTTACGACAGTTTATCTTTTTAGAGTTATAAAGTTTTTTAAGAAATTAATTATTCTTGATTCATATAACCTTTTTTTTTTTTATTTGAGGAGGGCAAAGCCCTGTTTCGTATAAGTTTATGATTATGCAAATGTTTTGACAATGCTTGGGCTCCAATTATGGGCCTTGGAAGGTCTAGCTCAGCTTTGTGAGGCTGAGAACAGGCACTACCATGTTCATTTTTCTCTTCAGTTTGCTTTGTCGTTGCAAAATCACCTTTCCTTGTACCTTTCACACTGCACTTCTTCCTCAATGTGTACCTGAAAAAAACCAACCGAAACCACTGTTCACTTCTTTGATTGGAAGTAATATAAGCTTTTTGCACTGTTAATATATTTGAGAGGAAAAAAAAATGTCCGCTTCTGTTTTTGTTCACAACTTTTGTTCCTTTATCTCTTGCATTCCAAATTGCTGCCAAAATCGAACTTTGGCTCTTACCCATCATCATTTTCATTCACCCAATTCCCTTCTGAAGTTAAAGAAGAAACCTTTCCTTGCAAACACTCACTTCAAGATTTCTAGAACCCGGAAACCTCGCTCCACTTTTGTAGTTTTTGCAGCACAATCGAATATTTTTAAAGGTTAGCCCCAATTTTCAGTTTTTTTTAATTAAATTATTTTGGATTTTCGTGTTGTTTCATTTTTTGTATTCTCTTGCCTTCCACACTCATCTTATTTGGGTTGATGAGATTTCAATTTTTATGTTCAGAAAAGGTGAAGGGATGGTAATTTTAGCTATTATGTAATACCTTGCAGTTGTTTGTTTCTATGGCAAGTTCTAGTTTTGATGCTGGCATATGATTTTATGGAGAGAGTTGATGATTGGGTGATAAAAGTGAAGAAACTATGACTATTGAAGTAAGATGCATTAAAGAGTTAAACAGTAGTCTTAGTTAATTGTCAGGCTAAATTGAGCTAGTTAATGCATATGCTTTATCTCCTTTGCCAATTTGTGGTTTAAATTGAAGTGAGTGACATCCATTTGGATTTTCTCAAGTGACCATCCCATACTACTTTAGTACATTACATCAATATTACATTAGTTTATATTTCGTGAGGAAGCTTTTACTTTGCCAAAACCGTTAAAGTAGGTGGTACCTTCATTCTATTATGTGGTGTCTTGCATTGATAAAGGTCTCTATATTTTGGATGTTATGCAGTATTTTCTTATTTCACGTATATGTATAACAATGACAATGTATGCTAAGGATTACCAGGGCTAAATTGCATCAAACTAACGAGTCTCAATCTCAAGAAAATGTTGATATTGGGATATAAAAGGCTAGTCACCTTATGCTGGCATTGGTGTTTCTTTGATGGATGGCAACTATTGGCAAGTCAAGTTTCCTGAAGGAATTGTAAATCTCAATTTTTTCCTAAAATTTTCACTTGGTTTTCCTATGTAGATTTAGTTTTCCTGTGTATATGTGGCTATCTAGATTATATTATCCTTTCATGATAGTAACTGTATTTCATGAGGGATTGTTGGACCATTAAAGTGGGTATATGAGAGGAAACATAAGAAGAAAAGCAAGGCCCAAGAAGTGGAGGGAGACAAGGCCCAAGATGGGGAGCCCAAGGTGAATGCAATGGCAAGGGCTGCACAAAGTAAAACCCAGACCCTAGACAAAGAGGCCAGTGAGAGTGCAACGACAAGGGGTGCACATGCTGACAAAAGTGTAGAAAATGTGAGGACTATCAAGGATGACACAGGGAGGGCGCTAAATGGAGAGGAGGGAATTGGAGGAATACACGCTGGGAAGTTAGTTATTAAAGGTGGGGAAGAGAATGGAAAAGGGGAGAAGAATCAACCTGAATTGGGAGGAGGGGAGCTCAATGAGGAAGAGTGATTCCTTGTTGAGGGAGTTGTTGTGGCTCTAGTATATGATTATTAGAGTCAGTTATCGTTTCTTTTACATGCAATTTTTCCTTGTTGTTAGGAGACTGTAAGGAATTGTGGTTGTCTTTATTTCATATTTGTCATAGTGTTACTGTTGCATTGTAAGGGAGGAATTCTGGATAAGTTCAAGGTGTATCTGAATTTGTCACTGATATCTGTCTAAATACAAATTTTTGTTGCTGTTTTTAATTACATCAATTGGTATCATTTTTTTTAATTACAACAATTGGTATTCAGAGCGTTCGATCCAGTGCGTGTGCTGAATGGTTCGGTCCAAAATGGAGACTAGAGTAGATGAGTTTGAGCAAAGACTAGTGGCGATGGAGCATTGCAACAAAGGTGTTCTAGGGAGGATAGGAGGGTTGGAGACTTCGATGAATCGAGTGAACCTGTTGCTCGCTCAGATTTTGGAAAGGATGACCCTACAAGGTGGTGAGAACATCAATGGAAATGGTGAAGATAATACAGGGGAAAATGAGACGAATGGAGAGATGGGGAACAATGGGCATGGTAGAGAAAACGAACGACGGAGGAGAGTGGAGGTCCTTTATTTTTCAGGGGAAGACCCCTACGGATGGTTGTATCGAGCTGAAAGGTACTTTAGGATTAATCGGATTCCTGCCGGAGAGCATGTGGAGACTGCTTCCGTGTGCTTGGAGGGAAGAGTGCTCAATTGGTTTCAATGGTGGGAGCAAAGAAACCCAACCATCAACTGGGGAGACTTTAGAGCTGCGATTCTCGAACGCTTTCACTCGTCTTCTTCCAGCAACCCATATGAGGCATTAATGTGTCTCAGGCAACATGGGACTATCGCTAAATACAGAGAGAATTTTGAGCTGTTGTCCGCTCCTCTTAGGCACGCTGACGAAGAAGTGCTGCAAGCAGCCTTCCTCACAGGGTTACGTGAATCGATACAGGCTGAGATCAGACTCCATGATTTGAGAGATCTTAGCAGGATGATGGTGATGGCCCAAAGGGTGGAGGAGAAAGAGGGAATCTGCGGCATGGGTGGAACTACAATGGGGTGGACAGGTAATGGGCCAACTACTAGAGGTGGGCCTCATTATTCGAAGTCAGCCCTCTCGAATAAAAGGGGAGGTGGAGAGAATAGGTCCAGTAACCATGCTGAGGGGCGAGTTGGGCCAACGGTCTTGGGCCCAAATAATACGACCCATGGAGGTGGCCAAGGTAGTGAGATGGGGTCAACTGGTCCACAGAGGACTAACCCGATAAACATGGGTGTGGGGAATGCTGGGAACCCTAACGGAGGGACTCCTTACCGTCGGCTGTCACAGGAAGAAATGTGTGATAGGCGGCGGCGCAACTTGTGCTTTCGGTGCGATGCACCATATTCGCCGGACCATATCTGTCAGCAAGCTAACCTATGTGTAATGTTGATTGGGATGGAAGAATTCGAACCAGAAGGGGAGATGCCGTTAGCCAATCCGGTCGCGACGGAAGGTGGAGAGACGTTACAACTGAGCGTCCATAGTATCGTGGGGCTCACTTCGAATCACTCACTGAAGCTTTGGGGAGAGATTCAGGGTAAAAAGGTCGTTGTTCTCATCGATTCCGGAGCTTCTCACAACTTTTTGGCAACGCATGTGGCGGCCGAGCTCCAACTTCCAGTTGACGTCTAAGATGCTCAAACCGTGACCGTGGGAGATGGAAATCGGGTGCAAAGTCTAGGTACGTGTAAGGGGATGAGGTTAGAGCTTCCGGGTCTGAATGTGATCCAAGATTTTTTTGTCTTTAAAATGGGGGGAGTGGATGTGATATTGGGATATGGCTGGTTGGAGGGATTGGGAGAAATTCGAGCTAATTTCAAGGAATTAGTCTTGAAAGTACCAAAAGGAGGGGACGTGGTTGAGCTCAGAGGGGATCCCACTCTGTCTAAGGGACGAGTTTCTCTTCGAGGTCTGAGCAAACTGTGGAAAAAGGGGGGTCGAAAACTATTATGTAGATTTGGGATTTGTGGGAATGAATGAGATGAAAGCCCAAGCACCGCCAGACAAGGTCACAGAGTTGCTGGAACAGTTCCCTGAGGTCTTTAAAGAACCATCTGGGTTGCCACCAAGCAGGTCATGTGACCATAGGATCTTCTTCAAGGAAGGAGCACACATTCCTAATATCAGGCCCTACCGTTACCCTCATTACCAGAAGGAAGAGTTGGAGAAATTTGTGAGGGAGATGTTGGCAGCAGGGTGGATACGTCCTAGTACAAGCCCATTTTCTAGCCCCATGATTCTAATTAAAAAGAAGGACGGGAGTTGGAGGTTTTGGGTAGATTATCAGGCACTTAATCATGTGACTGTTCCAGATAAATTTCCATCACCTGTGATAGATGAGCTATTAGATGAGTTCGAGGGTGCATCAATTTTTTCAAAACTGGACTTGAAGTCTGGGTATCACCAAATAAAGATGAAGGAGGAAGATATTGAGAAAACAACCATTAGGACTCCCGAGGGACATTATGAGTACCTTGTGATGCCCTTTGGATTGAGGAACACACCTTCTACATTTCAAGCATTGATGAATGAGGTGTTTAACCCCTTTCTGAGGAAGTTCGTATTGGTGTTCTTCGATGATATATTGATATACAGCAAGGATGAAGAGTCACACTGGGTGCAACTAGGTCAGGTTCTGGAAGTTCTTAAACAGAATCATTTCTCAGCAAATTTTAAAAAGTGTAGCTTTGTTAAAAGAGAATTGGAATATTTGGGCCATATTGTCACTGGGTCAGGGGTGAAGGCTGATCACAACAAGGTAGAAGCAATGCAAAGGTGGCCAGTTCCAGTGATTGTAAAATGATTGAGAGGTTTTTAGGGTTGACAGGGTATTATCGACGATTTGTGCAACAATATGGACATATAGCTCGACCCCTGACAAGGCTGTTAAAAAAAGATAAATTTCTATGGGATGAGGAGGCGCAGAAAGCATTTGAAATGTTAAAGGCAACAATGGTAGGGTTACCAGAACTGACTCTCCCTAATTTTGAAGAGGAGTTTATAGTAGAGACTGATGCGTCTGGGATAGGGATGGGGGCAGTGTTAATGCAGAGAGGGCGTCCCATTTCTTTCATTAGTCAAGCATTCTCAGATACTGAAAGGAGCTTGTCAGTGTATGAGAAGGAGTTGAAAGCCATAGTTTTTGCAGTTAATCTGTTGGGCCGTCATTTTATTATAAGAACAGATCAGCAAAGTCTAAAGTATTTGATCGAGCAAAGACTCATGGTAGAAGGGCAGCAAAAGTGGGTGGCTAAACTCATGGGCTTTGACTTCGAGATACAATATAAGCCGGGGGTAGAAAACAAGGCTGCAGATGCTTTATCGAGGGTCATGGAATGTATGGCAATGTCCACAGTGATGAGCCCAGATTTGCAATTGTTGACAGAGGAGGCCCTGGCTAATACTGAGATCAAAGAGATGATAGTGGACATTATGAAATATGGTGTTGCACATCCAGGGTACTATGTTGCTAAAGGGAGCTTGTGGTACAAAGATAGGCTGGTCATCCCCCGTACCTCTGTCTATATTCCTACCATCTTATAGGAATTTCATGCGTCACCATGGGGAGGACATTCCGGAGAGGCCAGAACGTACAAGTGAATTGCTATGATTTTTTATTGGAAGAAGATGTGCAAGGACATAGAGCAATTTGTGAAATCTTGTGGAGTGTGTCAACAACAAAAGTATCAAAGCTTGCTGCCTGCAGGTCTGTTGCAGTCCGTTGCCCATCCCACAACAGGTTTGGGAAGATTTATGTATGGACTTTATTTCGGGGTTACCAAAGTCTAAAGGGGTTGACACCATCCTAGTAGTGGTGGATCGATTAACTAAATATGCACATTTCACCACACTTAATCACCCATTTACTGCTGAGCACGTGTCTGGATTATTTGTTAAAGAAATAATTAGACTGCATGGATTTCCAAGATCTATAGTGACAGATAGAGACAAAATCTTTGTGAGTAAATTCTGGGAGGAGTTGTTTAAATCTGCAGGTACCACACTGAAATTTAGTTCAGCCTACCAGCCACAAACCGATGGGCAAACGGAGGTCGTTAATCGTACTTTGGAGACCTATTTAAGATGCTTTGCTGGTGAGCACCCTAGGAGCTGGGCCAAGTGGCTTCCATGGGCAGAATTCTGGTTTAATAGCTCTTATAATAGGTCTACTCAGATGACACCCTTTAAAGCAGTCTATGGCAGGGATCCTCCTTCGATCATCCCTTTTCAAAAGAATTTTGTATCGGTGGCAGCTGTAGATCAATGGTTGGAGGCCAGAGATGTCATCTTACAGGAACTGAAAAACAATTTATGCAAGGCACAAGAGAGGAGGAAAGTGCAAGCGGACAAAGGAAGAAGGGAGTCACCTGTGCGGCAGGGGACATGGTGCACTTGAAGATCCAACCATATAAATTAAGGTCACTAGCAAAAAGGCTGAATCAAAAACTCAGTCCAAGATTCTATGGTCCCTTTGAGATTGAAGAAAGAATCGGTCAGGTGGCATACAGACTTAGGCTTCCGGAAGATTCAAAGGTTCATTCCGTGTTTCACGTGTCACTCTTGAAGAAGGCCATTAGCCCTAACGTACCTGTCCTGCCCTTACCAAGCTGTTTGACTGAATCATTGGAATTGCAAGTCAAACCGGCTGCTATTCGAGATGTGAGGAGACTGCTCAATGGCAAGGTTGAAATCTTGGTGGAATGGCAGAATTTACCTGACTGTGAGTGGTCTTGGGAGGATGAAGAGGAGTTCTCAACACTCTTTCCATCTTTTCACCTTGAGGACAAGGTGAATGTTAGGGGGGGAGGTATTGTTGGACCATTAAAGTGGGTATATGAGAGGAAACATAAGAAGAAAAGCAAGGCCCAAGAAGTGGAGGGAGACAAGGCCCAAGGTGAATGCAATGGCAAGGGCTGCACAAAGTAAAACCCAGACCCAAGACAAAGAGGCCAGTGAGAGTGCAACGGCAAGGGGTGCACATGCTGACAAAAGTGTAGAAAATGTGAGGACTATCAAGGATGACACGTGGAGGGCGCTAAATGGAGAGGAGGGAATTGGAGGAATACACGCTGGGAAGTTAGTTATTAAAGGTGGAGAAGAGAATGGAAAAGGGGAGAAGAATCAACCTGAATTGGGAGGAGGGGAGCTCAATGAGGAAGAGTGATTCCTTGTTGAGGGAGTTGTTGTGGCTCTAGTATACGATTATTAGAGTCAGTTATCATTTCTTTTACATGCAATTTTTCCTTGTTGTTAGGATACTGTAAGGAATTCTGGTTGTCTTTATTTCATATTTGTCATAGCGTTACTGTTGCATTGTAAGGGAGGGATTCTGGATAAGTTCAAGGTGTATCTGAATTTGTCACTGATATCTGTCTAAATACAAATTTCTGTTGCTGTTTTAATTACATCAATTGGTATCATTTGTTTTAATTACATCAGGGATCAACATGAATCTGGCATTTGGTCTTATGTTTATGCACTCCGCCATCCTTTTGTGTAAATTGAAAGGAAAACACCATATGATTAAGAGTTGTTGTTGATGAAATTATCTTGCTATTTGGGTAAATTGTCTTCCCTTCAGAATTGGAACATTTAACTTTTGTTGGGCTGTTTTGTATCAACCCTGCTCATTTTATTTTGCATAGTTCCTTTTTCCTGCTTTTTTCCTTGTCCATGAAGCATAATTATTGCTCCTTTTTTTCAACTATCTCTATGATTACGAGATAGTTCTGCAGACTGCATGGAAAGTTGGTAGGGATGGAATTGAGGCAGGCACTGATCTGGTTCCCGTAAGTCAGACTTTCAATTTCGCTTTCAAACTTTACATAATCATTTGATCTATTATAGCTATTATCTTCAAAGTTGTTACAATCTTTGATGTTTCTCTTTTCTTTTCTTGTCTTCCCTGATGCTAGAATTCTATTCCAAGACCAATAGCAAGGATTTCAGTAACTATTGTGGCTTTGAGTGTTTCACTTTTTGTACTCAAATCTTTCCTCTCTACAGCTTTCTTTGTATTGGTAAGTCATCCATTTTATTTTTTCATCCAATTAAAATTTCAGGATTATTATTTTAAATCAACTGTGATGAAATCAATTTGAATAGTCTAATGATTTAGGACAAGGTCATCATATCCATCCATTAAGATGGGTGTATTGATTCACGTCTTATGTGGCTATATTCTAATTGTCAAAATGCACCCGTAGCTGTATCTAATTAGTAATTATTATAAAAAGTTTAAATTTAAACCAGTTGAACTCATACGAAGTCACTCGTGAAGTTCTATACAATTAAATATGTGTTTCCTGTTAAAATGATATGCAGAGACTTATGCGGCATGCATGGTTCAACTAGTAGCATCTTGCCATGTAGGATTGGTATGCATGCCCATCTTTAGAGATGGATAATTTGTTATCATAGCCTTCACCAGAATTTTCAATGAAGATAAGACCAAAAATTGTTGCAATTTCTGACATAAATACCTAAGATAATTGTGCTTGATTTTGTAATGAAACCCATTTCTTAGTGTTCTCTTATACTGGTTGCCACCTTTGTCTCTTTCTCTTTTGAAAGGGTTGAATTCCATATCTTAATCTTGGTTCGTTTTGCACGAATGATAGGCCTCCAATTATTAGAACAAAACTTTGCCAAAGCCAAAGAACTTTTCTCAGTCTTCAAGGATAAAAATTACAAAGTATGGGTCCTATGAGATAAGTGACATACAACAGGCGATTTTTTTTTTCAGCTTGAAATTGTACAGATTTTCCATGAAATAAGCTAATTTAAGTTTTTGAAATAGTGTCACTATATCACTACATAAGGATGTACTTTTTTTAATGAATGCGAATATGGGATGGCCATGAATTTCCATATTGCTCAACTTTCTCATCCAATTGTTTTTCATTTTAGTTTTAGTTTCTGGCTTTCTTCTTCTAAGGATATTGGGTTTTGATAAAGTTGAAAGCCATGGGATGAGGAAGATGATGATTTAGGTCCATGTATTATGTCTAATGCTTATGAATTTTGAGGAATTTACTCTGTTATTCTAGAAAATTATCAAACGGAAGTCCGTTCCACTTGGTTGGTTGGGTTGAAATTTTTTCTCAAAAGCTGAATGTATTCCAATGATGAAGATGGTTCTAAGCTTTATGCTTCAATGCTTTCTACTACGGTTAATACAAGTTAATTTCTTGTTGATAGGCTACTATAGGACTTGTATACTTTGCATTCCTAGGATTCAATAAAGATCAAGGACCTAAGGGTAATGGAGAAACTACCTCCACTCCTATGGAGGATCCTGTTGAAGAAGCTAGAAAGATAATGGACAAATACAAGTAGAGGCGTCAGAGTTAGTTGTTCTGAACCACTTCTTTTCTGCATTATACATTTGTCAAATGTAATGTAAAGTTATGATCCTGTGAGTGATAATTGAGAAAGGAAATTAGTGACTTTCACAGAGTGGTATTTTCATCATTTATGGAAATGTCGTTTTCCGTTTCTCAGTTCATATTAATTATAGCCTTTACACAGCCTCAGTGCAAATGTCATTTTCCATTTCATTGATGTTAGTTAAAGAATGTTTGAATTTGCTTAATTTTCAGGGAACTTTTCTTTTCAAAAGTTGTCTTAGGAAAAATTTGATTATAAGATATAAACTATTTTGAACATAAAATAAGTTAATCTAAATACACACTTAATCTTATAACACAAGTTCCTATATTTCTCTGAAGTGTTTTACTTAAATGTCTTACTGTTAGAGGATGACTTAGGTGCGAATAATTTATGGTTAAACCTAAATATTTTATCAAAAAATAGAAAATAAAAAATTGTTAAACCGAAGAAAAAAGATGCACTCAGTTGAAAGTTGAAACTTTCCATTGATAGATGGAAAGTTTATCCCATTTTTTTTAGCGGTTTTGATGTTTAGTTTGGGCTATTCTGGTTCTTAGCTAACGATAAATTTTAGTTGAAGACCCAGTAGCTAACGATAATATTTATGGAAAAAGTGTTTGTTTAATGTATATTTGGTATTTTTTTTTTTTATATTTTTTCTCCTTCACTTTCTCTCTCTTCCTATTTTTATGGAGGAGATAAAATGTAAAAAATTATCAAATATGCATCAAAATAATGTTATTTTATTTAAAAAAACATAAAATTATATCTTTTAAAATAACATATAATTTTGGAGATATTTTTTAAGGCAAAGGTGCAAAGATTTTAAAGAGTACACGTGAATGAAACATGGATTGTTTCTGTTTAGCTTCATTGTACGAGGCATTTGAAGGTTTCTCAAAGGGGACATGTTTTACGTGATTCGACTAAAAAACAAAGAAGAGGGATATTCTTATTACCAAAATTTTCTACTACCAACTCACTACCTATCTAATAACTATTGGATCGACATTTTTTCTTTTTTCAAAAACTTTTTAACATTCTCTCTCTTTGATTCAATGGTGATTAGATAGGTAGTAAGTTAGTAGTAAAAAAATTTGGTAGTAAGAATATCTTTCCTCAAAAACAAATGTCAGTTTTTTTGGGTTTTCCGGAAAATTTCTCACAAATCGGAAATTATGTAGACTAAAAATACGACTTGATTTACCTAATTCGGTTTATATTCACATTTACAGAATAATCTATCATTAAAATTAATAGATACAATAGTTAATTGTCAAAATGAATTGGTTTAGCAAATAAAGACAAGTACTTTGCAAATAAAAAAAATCATCAAGAGTGAATATCCAACAAATCTCTACCTAATCTCGGATTGGATTAAGCTATGATAAATTTGTTTGCAAGTGCTAATAAGATCTATCTTCATGCAAATATAACATTCTTTTTTGGCACATACACATGCTCCACTAGACCAGACATTTTTCGCATCGTTGTATGCTGTACTAACACCTCTGTTCGTGACCAACAAACCTTTTTGTACTATTCAAAACTCTTTCTAGTAAAATATCCAAAAAGGTAAGGAATGTAATCTACTACTCGAATTAATTAAATTATTCTCAAATATAGTAACATTCCTGACATCATGAAATATCTCCACACTATTATGATGCAATTTAACTTTCGCATTAGCATTTTCAACCATGTTTAAACTACCATCATTAGTCATTTTCAACTCCACCATCATAAACATCATGAGGGTCAAACAATTCTAAAACTTCATGTTCTAATACAAACATTCTTGGGCACTTGCTACTATCTTAATCATTTAATGGGTGCACACTAATAATAAAGAAGGTCATAATGGAGAAATCAGTACTATGAAACTGTGGGTTATGTGCAATAGTAAGAGATCACATTACAAAGGCAGGAATAGTGATCTAAATGCCATATTTTTTCAATTTTTTTTTTCAAATTGTCATTTGAATATTTTGAGTAAACACCATTTTTAGTCCCTGTCAATATCTACGAAGTCCTTTTTAGTCCCTGGCAATAAAAAAGGACCAAATTGGTCCCTGAAATTACAAAAAGGGCCATGTTAGTCCTTATGTCAACTCCCAAATATGTTGAGTGACCCATTTCTTGTACTTTCAGGGACCAATTTGGTCCTTTTTTATTGCCAGAGACTGAAAAGGACTTCGTAGATATTGCCAGGGACTAAAAAGGGTGTTTACTCTAATATTTTTTATCAGATTGTCACGCATTCAAATTCACTATTAGTTATAGCGAACTTGGTTAGATTATGCGACACGTTTCCATTAGTATACCAAATTCGTTATCAGTCGTAGCAAACTTCGTCGCTTATGATTTCGTGACACATACACACTTTGCAAGAAAAAAATTGACTAGACTAAATTCGCTATGACTAGTAGTAAATTTGGCGCGCTAATGGGAATGTGCCATGTGGCCTAACCAAGTTCGCTATAACTGGTAACGAACTTATACGCGTGACAGTTTGATAAAAAAATACTATTCGGATAATATTTAAGCAATTTTCTTAAAAAAATATGACAATTTGATCACTGCACACTGCTGGTTGACGAAGCTTTTTCATAGCCAAGAGTCTACTTTTCATTGCAATAAAATATTCTTGCCATACAGGTTTTAGGATGAATATTCATTTTATTCATTTTAAAAATGAATATGTGTGTGAAGAAAGACGCTGCAGAATGTGTTTCTTTGCATTTGATTAGTTTTTATTAAAAAATTGTCTTTTGATAGCTTTCTTAGGAAAAAAATTGATGATAAAAACATTTTGAATACAAAATAAGATAATATAAATGCACAATATATCCTAAAATTACAAGGAAGTAGTTAATTATGCAAAATACCATATCTATCGCTTTGATTGAAAATAAAGGTATTGGAATACAAGGTTACACTATTTGAGCAAGAAAAAAACAGGCTATTCCATGAAAAATGATAAATCCAAGAAAATAAAAGAACCAAATAAAAGAAAAAAAGGGTGTGGTAGAGTCGCATATTTTTGCAAATAAATACAATATTATAATATCAATAAAGTTTGGCAAAGTTGATAGATGGTTGTAAAGGTAATAATATGGGTTAAATCTGATAACTCAATCCGTCAATCCGCTAAAATGAGGCGGGTTGAGTTATACCTTTCAACCCATCAACTCGTCCCATTTAGGTATTGGTTAAAATGGGTTGCTGGCGGGTCGGACGGGTTGTCTCGCTGGTCAGTTTTTTTATTAGGTAGTATTTTATTTATCACTAAATTTTTGTGATATATATTTTTATTTTATTTTAGCACTCTCCTAGAAAAATAAAGAAAAACTTTATTTATAACAAAGATTATCCATATATAGAAGCAAAAATATATTCCTAAAAAATATCTGACAGAATATTAGCTTATATTTAGGCTTGAGATTGAAAAAAAATTAAGGGAGTGTAATAAAAATAAGTAATATTATAAAATTAATAAAATATAATATATTATTTTTTTAATTAATTTTTGTTTTTTAGGCGGGTTGACCATTCCAACCCACCTCAAAATAGGGTGAGTTGATATTTCCAAACCACCATCAAACGACCGGTCAACCCGCCCCGCCCCCCTTTTGGCGGGTTGAAGGCGGGTCGGGACGAGATGACCCGTTTTGCCACCTCTAGATGGTTGGATCCCTTAAGTATGCTAACAATGATTCGACCTCTGATTGTGTATATGAAAAATACTTTGTTGGTAGAGGCAAAATTTATTTCGGTGATCTCTACGCCTTGAAAGGATTGGTCTTTGGCTATCGACTAGGGGATACCTTGAGAAAACTCAAAAAAATAATAATACAATATTATAATTAATTTCATTAATTCATAGGCAGTTTACCTCAGAGAAAAAAAAAAAGATGCTTGAGCCGTAACATTGAACTAGAAAATTAAAGATTATATATATGAGAAAAGCAAAATAGAGAAAGCAACAAATGAATCATTAAAATCAATACGTTTCTTCACATGTTCTGTACCAATAAAAAAAGTATGTTTCCGTCATGCTTAACAACGTTATTGCTGTCTATTCGCTTCTTCTAGTGTGAATTTTTTGTTAATTCCCAATATCAGTTGAACAGGCCTTCAACATGCTTATAAAGATGAAAACATTATCATTGGGTATTCAGAAAAATATATGCAGGAACGATCTTTACATGTTGGTATTGCAGAGTAAAAATAACATTTCGGTCAAATAACACTTGAGGAATATCTGGTCAAAGCAATGCCTAGTAACGTTGGTATTACATGTTGCTAAGATAAAAAAAATTACTAATTTACTTATTAAAAAACTATAATATAAAATCATTAATTTAATATTTTTTTTTTTAGATCGACCATAATTACTTTTTTGAGCCAGGTTGGCTCTCGGTATCCCCACTAACTTTTTAACTCTTCACCCCTTCTCAAATATATATTCCGGGGAAATGAAACTCAGATATTTTTTATTTTATTTTTTGATAACAAAACTCAGATATTTTTCACCTACTTAACCTACGTTTTTTTTTTTTTTGGTACATTGCCAGGAGGTATTCTCATTCAACCTTCTCCGGGCACCATGCCCTCGGTGTACGGCCCGTTTGGGCTAGCCCCTCATTGTAACAGTGGGTGCACTAAGCTTCGCAACCGGAGAAAGGACGAGACTAATCCCCCAACCGAAGATTTTTTGGCTTATCCTCTGACCCCCAAAGACTTTCCAAGAAACTGTTTGAGGCAGGGTTTGATCCCTGCACATCAACTAAGTTATATCCATTCAGAATTTGACATTTACTTTTAGTGTGTACTTTTGTGTTGAATTGATATTCATTGTGAAATTTTTTAGCATAAATAATGTGAGCTTTTACATAATTCATTCTTCAAGTCGAGTAGACTTTTTTGTGAAAAGACATTTATTAATTTGATATTTTTCTAATAACTTAAAATTTTGAATTAAATTAACACTTGACATAATTACTTTTGGGTTGAATTAGTGCTTAATATAACATAATTTTGAAGAAAAAACCTTGCTACATAAAAATGTGATTATTTTTGCACAAAAAGAAGAACCAAACTGGTGTTGGTCGATGATTCGTTTATTTCTTTCTCTAACTATATTTT